TTTTAACCACTGGCGGTCGCAGCCGCTAGCAAAAGGGGGGGCCAAAGTCACACTCGCGGGACATAACATTTATCCGTCACCGGGGGGGGGGGGGGTGATCGGCTAATTTTTTACGTCCACGAGGCGCCGCACAATTGGCATTACTTTGCTTCATCCATCTCATTCTTGCGTGAAATCTTTGAGCTCAATTTAAGGCAAAATCACCAGTTCCATTTACCGTCTCACGGTGTGCCCACCGGTCGGGCCGCTGCACTATGGTTGGAAACGGCCTCACGGATGGCCGTGGGCAATTTCGGAATTTATGTATATTTGGGGTGTCATTCTGTTGGAAATTGATGAAATGTTTTGAATTGGGGAGAAAAAATTATTTAGTTGCGCATTTAGTCTCCATTATTGTACGTGGAATCGGGAGTTTCTGATAGTGGCTTTTTTGGTGCGCCGTCAAAAGTTTAAACAACCGCGCTGGTGATAGCATGTGGAGTACCTCCATGACGTTGTAAAACTGGATTTTTATATATCAAAATAATCCTTGTTATGTTGGCTATCGAGTGGAGTGACTCTTTTTCCCATGCGTGTTCAAAATCAGGAACGGCATTGCATTCTGTTTGCAGTGTCACCACAGCAATATTTGCAAAATTACGTTTATGTTTCATTGGACATACAAAAAGTTCTCCATCGACCTCCATTGAGTTTTTTTGGCAGAATAAATCTCTGTTCAATTCTGCGTAAGGGGAACGTAAAAGCAGACTGCGCACTTGTGCGCAAAATCGTCCGTGAAGCTTCATCTCCCGAGGCGTACCTACCCGTCGCTTCGTTAGCACCAGGTCGGCTCGTCAGTCTTGCAATCGCTTATCCTTATAAATGATGGTAAGAAGCAGGTTTGCGGAGTCGTGGTGGCGCCAAATCCGACTCCGACTACGACTCCGACTCCTGACTCGTTGCCATGACTTCGGCCGACTCTGTCTCCGACTCCGGACCCCTGCCAGTGTTTCGGAGTCGTGATGGAGCTGTTCCGATTCGGACCGACTCCGACTTCCACTGCGGGCTCCTGACCGACCCCGACTCCGACTCCGACTCCTGGCTCGTTGCCACGACTCTGGGCGACTCTGACTCCGACTCCGACTCTGACTCCGACTCTGACTTCGACTCCGCACCCCTCGTAAGAAGTAACTGCTCGCCCCTGCACCTGGAGTATGGATATCGTGCAAACGTGTATGGATATCCTGGAGTATGGATATGGATATCCACCGACAGAGCAGACATACAGACATGCTGTAAACGCCATTACACTGCCAATACCATGGCAAATCAAATGGCTATCTATGATTTTTGATCATCGTTCTACATTTTCCAAAATCTTGAACTGAATGTTGGCAATTTCTCGTGACTACTTCACGACCATGATGTATGCATTTCTGAAATTGATCTTTTTCAACCAGCCACGTACTCGTATGATAAAATGAATGTCACCATCGTGTTCTACGCCCAAAAGTACCCATAAAACATTTGTCATGCATGGGCTGCGAATAGGTACCAGTTTTAATTTTCGGGGTTATGTGCTTACCTGATTGACCTGACTTTGACCCTGGCCAGTGGTCTATGTTTGACTGACCCCTACATTGATCTGACACTCTTTTAGCACTTATATGAAGGGTTGTGACAGTTGTGACAGTTGTGACAGATTGTTTAGGACCAACTGATGACTGAATTTATTTAGGACCAACTGATGACGATATAATCGAAACGCGAAACGCGAGGCACCGATTGCGAGGTTCTAAAGTCCATGCTACTGAAAGCCCGATTTCAAGTGTTTGACCTGACCTTGACCCGACCTGTGACCTCGAAATTCAACTTTAAAGTATTCATGTGAATCGTCTCGTCGCGTTCTTCTTTCGTTTGCCGCGCCTCGTGCGTTTCGCTGCGCCTATTTGTTCGCGAGTTATCGGCTGGGGGCGTTGAACGCCCCCCCCCCCCCGGCAAACGGCGGATGGGGAAATACCCCAGCAACTGCCGGGTTAATCTGACGCATGTTTTGTCATTTGATCGTCATTTTATTTCTTACTTTTTTGCCCAATCTAAAAAAAAATCATAAATACTCTTTCTCCAAATTTTTTACCCTTTATGACCAATAGTAAGACACTGTGCGTCACTACCTTGATATTTCTCGCCCTAAAGCATAACAACAATATCCATTCAGTAATAGCAGTATTCAAAACATGTTCAAAATGCCTAGCGATATCGATAACATAACGAAAGACATAGGCGACTTATAGCATACTTGCAATGATGACGTCACACACGCGTGACGTGACGTGACCTCGTCATTTCTGAGTTACTGTATGATGCACGAAAGACACTGGTATACCTATGCAAAGTTTCATCGCAGTCGGTCTACGCATTAACAAGTTATGGGCAAAACATTTTTTCGCGTTGACTCCCGGCCATCCGTGAGGCCGTTTCCAACCATAGTGCGCTGCACCATGACGACGGATCGGTGTAGCATAGGTATACTGGAAGGTCAGGCACGCGGATTCATGACCTTACCACTATAAAACAATTCGGAAAAGTACAGATACCTCTTGCTAAAAAGTACAGATACCTCTTGCTTTGAACAAGCATGTGAAACCCAGAGAGCATTTTTAGACTATGACATTTACCCATATAGGTACCTAGTTGTGTGGCGGCGGGAGAGAGTAGGTACACCGACCTCTGGAGACCCCCACAGGTTCCGAGCTTTCAGAATCGGCATCTGAGGGCCGCGCGCGACTCCTGCGGGGCTTCGCAACGGCTCTGTTGGGGCTCACTCAACCTGCCTAGTCCTACTGCTAAAAAGACTGGCCCTGAGCCCTAGGGACTTCATCAGTCTCTGCCAGCCCCAGGACCCACACCGGCTCATGGGGTCCCGACGTCGAACTATGAGGGAATCAGCGCGGGACCATCAGGACGTAAAGCAATCTCGATCAGGACCAACGTAAGGCTGTGCCGGAGACTGCGTGAGCCCTCTGATCTTCAGAAACCCACCCATGTATGTTTTCATGTAGAGGCCAGTTTAGGGCCCTCAGAGACCAGTACAGGGCCTGCAAACTACAAAGGCCAGTAGTTTGAGACCATCAGAGACCGAGTTGGGCTCTCAGAGGCTAATGTGGGTCCTTACTCATTACAGGCCAACATGGGTCCCTCAGAGGTCAGCGTGGGGCCCTAAAAGACCGGCATGAGCCGTCGTTGGACCCCAGAGGCCAGCAGAGGGCCCTCAAAGGCCAAGATGGGCCCTCCTCAGAGGCCAATGCAGAACCTTAGAGGCCCGCATCGGGTCTTCAGCAGCCAGTGCGGGGCCCTTATTGGCACCTAAAGGTTCGTCTTGGGACACCAGAGACAGAAATAAGGCCACCAGAGACCGGTGTGAGACCCTCAGACGCCGGTTGGGACCCCTGAGGCCGGTTAGGGGCCCTCATAGGCCAGATGTGGGACCTCAGAGGTTGATGTAGGCTCTTAGCGGTCAACGTGGGCGCTTGACCGCCACTGAAGTTCCCTCAGAGGTCAGTGTAGGACGCTCAAAGACCGGTGTGGGAGCTATATTAATAGCTTGGCGCGTTTTTTTTAGCCTCGTGACGATCGAATAATTGCCAGGGCCCCATACACCTATATGGGGGCCCATTGGTTGTTTGAGGGGGGGGGGTCAAATGATATGATGGCCCCCTTTATTGACCTTTGAGGGCATGGCCCTGATGCTCCCCCCCCCCCCGGCCCCCCGCGAGTCGCGACCGCCACTGTGTACACATTACACACATGCCTCTGAAATTACATACTAGCTCAGGCAAACTCTATGCAGGCCCCGAAGGTCCCACGCTAATCCTTAAGAAACCAAGCCGGCATACGGCATCACCACCGGGCTTCTGAGGTGCACAGCACCAACCCATGAGGTCTTACTTTAGTGTCTTGGAGCCAATCTCCTTTAGCAGGGCCCACCCGCCACTGCCGAAGAGGGTCTCATGCCAGCCATTGCTGAATGCTGGGCCTACGAGAGCCTTAAGTAAACCCACGCTGATATTCCATATAAGATCCGGCCATACTCGTGAACCGGTGCCAGCGACGCTGACCGCCAAATTGACAGAATGCGAAACTGAGCCCACTCATGAGTAAAATTTACGTCCTTTGATGGCGCAAGAAAGAAAATGAAACATACGAAAAGCTTTTCTAGGACTTTTGTTCGATCTGAAAGGTGGGGCCAAAAGATAGTATGGCCCCACCTTTCAGCACCAAAGGGGGGGCCATGGCCCCCGTGGCCCCCCCCCCCTGCGACCGCCAGTGGTTTTAACTCTGTCAAAAGCAGGCCACCACGCTACCCATCTATCCGCTCCACCGGCGAGTTCTCTGAGTTTTCCGCTCAGCTCAGTATGGGAAGGAGACCGAGGATGCGGACGGTGCAAACACAGGTGTCACCGGGGGCGTTGTTTTCACTGCGGGAGGTTATTATTCACGACTTAGTGCCGTCGACGCCCACTGGAGGCGGCCTTTGCTGCACAGCGCACCACTCCCGAGATTTCTCATCGGCCAAACCGAATTCAAGTTGGGCTTACTTGAGGCATTCAATTGAATTTTCTCTTTCATCCGATCAGGGCAAACAGAAAGCAGTCAATCAACGGAACGCCATCAAACAAGTCATCACCATATCAAACGGCTACCGGCTCAGCTGAATGCGAAGTTGGACAATTTCCGAAAGCTGCGGGCTTTTAGTGCTCATCATACCGTTCCGAGGTGGCAATAGCTCCGAGATAGGATAAAGAGCCGAGTGATGTCCAAATATGCGTTAGCGGAGTCCGGAAATTAGCCGGAAGGAGCCTCAGCAGTGCAGTGCGATGTAAACTCGGTACGTCTGCTCGCGCTATCAGTTCTGCAATACTCCACCGTCAAGTTGATAGCCTCAAGCTTGTCGCATTTCCTACTGCTGTAGGTTGTATGTAAACTGTGGGAACATGTGGATGAACTTTAAAGGCGAAATTATAACGCAGTTGTACTTGTATTGCCCAGATAAATATCACACCACAAATATTGAAATAGGTATAATAATTAGCATTTACCCCGCAAACAGTCTAAAGCAACGGAAACATTGAAATTGACCTAGAACATTTATCTTATCACACAACAGTTTAACCACACTGGCACGTCATAATAATCAAATAACACCAAAACAACCAGTTTAGAGAACAAACATTACTTTCAATGACAATCTCAACAAAGACAATTAGTCGTAGCATGACTGCAACATCCACACATTAAATTGGCGGTCAACGAACATACAATTCAACAAAAATGAGAGGATGAGATCATTACAGATGGAATGGTGAGTGGAATAACCAACGCCAAGTTATAATTAGCATTCATTTGATACGGTGACACTCCCAAGCACTAGTCAAAACGACTAGCACAACATTCCCAAATAGTTCCGTATTCGCCACGAAGCACAACCCCCGGGAAGACGTGTTTTGTATGAGCTGATGGCCCCTTTTAAAACTCGTCTGGGGAGCACTTTGGCCTTATAATCGGCGCACCATTTACTACTTAAATGGCAGCGGGCGTTCCGGGTCCGGTACTTGAACGTTCCCTGGCGTCACAGCCGAAACAGTACCGCAGGATGGCCATCCTTCCGGGCACGGCATAGGTCACGCATCACATGTGCAGGGTAATGCCACACTGAAGTCCTACCAGGATTTGACCCTCGTATATGCCAGCCGTTCAGCCCCATCACAGGCGAGACTGAAAGGCAGCTAGTGCATACGTCCACCCTCGCCGGCCGGTCAGACGGCGGCCCTGTCACGCGCCACGCCCTCCAGCAGCGTGTTACCGGTGACGACGGCCGTGGTCAGCACCACCAGCCGGTGCGAGAGGGCGCGCGCCACCTGCTGCAGTCCGGCCACCTCGGCCATCGTCACACCGCCCAGCAGCAGTAGCAGCACCACCCGCGGCGGCTCGGCGTCTGTCTGCCGCCGGCGCACCGTCTCCCCGGGCAGCAGGCGCAGCGCCGCCTCGGCCGCCGCGCCCCACGAGCCCTCCACCAGCAGCAGCCGCAGCAGGGCGCACGAGACCGGGATGTACGCGCCGCTGAATACGTACCCCGCGTCCGGCGGCGTGCGCAGGTCGTAGTTGTCGGACGACTCCGGGATCAGCGCCAGTTTCCGCGTCACCGTCTTGAAGGCGCTCTGGCGCGCCAGGTTGACGCTCTGCGCCACTTTTTGAGCCAGCTGCGCCGTCTGTCGGCCGCCGCCGAGCACGCCGGCCGGTAGTTGGGAGAGCAGCCGAGTGGCGGCGCCACCACCGAGCGATCCGCTCCGTCCGTGCTGTCCGTCTCCCACGGCCGACGGCGGCCCGGGCGCCGACCCCGAGCCGAACCCGCCCGCCTGCTCGGTGAACAGTCCCAGCCGCTTCAGGTTGTGCAGCGTCACCAGGTGGTGGAAGCCGTGGCTCTGCACAAACTGCGTGACCAGCGACTGGTACTCGCGGCTGGGCACTCCGCCCTGGGCGATCGAGTACAGGCACATGAGCCGCAGGGTGGCCAGCGGCGGCGACTGGCGCGCCAAGTTCTGCTCGATGAACGCCAGGTTCTCCCGCATGTCCAGGCCGTCGACGATACTGTGCTCGGCCCGCAGCTGCTCCTCGAACGAGCGCGTCTTGCGCTTCATGATGGCCTCACAGGCGCCGATGTGCGTGCCCAAAGACATGTGCTGCGCCTGTACCTCGCGCAGCTGACCTGCGGAACGGACGGTGGGTCGTTAAAAGCAACCAACAGTATTCTAGTTTCCTAGCATCACACACATAAGTAGGAACACAACGAATATTCAAACACGAAGCCATAGAAATTTGATATTAGAAGTGGTTTCAGTTACGTCCGACAAACTTGTTTGAAGGCGAATGAGTCCTTAGAAAATAAGATTGATAATTAGTTAAAAAATCACATATTCAACACATTCATAACGTGAATGAATGTTGTGTAAGTAGCATGCCGAAACCACTCACTCTGTATGAAGCCCTTCATCTGTTCGACACTCATCTCCTGACGTTTGGAGTGTGCCTGCTGTAGCTGCTTGGCGCGCTGGCGCAGCACGGGAAACACGGCCGAAAAGTGACGGTCACGGATGTCCCGGTACACCTGGACGGAGCGACAGAGCACACACGGATGATATAACCAGATAACCTTCCCCCACACGCGTATCATTACTTCCTTTCGACACAATCACTACATCACTCTAATCTTACACATCTGTTTTCCTTTCGGCATCTTCTTCCCTCCTCTCTGATGTGCCACAACCATGAGTCATGAGCCACCCAGTTGGCTCCTCTATTTTCCCATCTACTACCATCTCCCCCCTTCTTCCCATCCTCACCTCATCCTTGCTGTGCAGCATCAGTTTCACACTCTTCTCAGTCCCGGTCACATCAGTTCCCAGCTCCAGCACCCCGCACTTAACGCCGAACGTCTCGTCCACGATGCCGGCGTAGGTCAGCTGAGAGAGCAGGGCTGCTGCAGAGTCCACGTCTCGGTCCAGCACCACTAGGTGTCCGACCTCCGGCTCAGTGACCCGCGGCTCGCCCAGCTCCGAGCGGAAAAACTCCAGCAGAGAGACCACCTGGGGCAGCCGGACAGGGGGCCCGTGAATAATGTAGAGGAGGAGGGTGGGTTGGTTTTAAAGGTAACTTGAGAATGAAGCGTATATTCCGTAACGATCTTGATAAATCGTAACCGATAAATCGTAAAAAAATCACTCAAATAACAAATAGTGGCCAGATCTTGGCCGGCTGGGAGAAACCCGTCCCTGGTTGGATCTGTCACTATTCTAACCTGTTGGGCGGCTCGTCCGTGCGCGTGAATACGCGGTATCAGTCCGCAGAGCGACTGAAGCCTCCAGACGGCGCGGGCCACCGGTTCCAGCAGCGCCGTGCATCCGTCCAGGAAAAAGTCGCGGTACAGCTCGGGCATCTCCAGGCTCCAGAGGTCGGCGTCCAGCGCCACAAAGTCCAGAGCGTACTGGTGCAGCTCGGCGACTCCCAGCACGCCCTCCTCTTCGAGCAGGTGGCGGCACGCGTGCAGAATCTGAGCAGAGGCGGCCGGTGGGGAATGCTTAAAACCTTTTAAACCTTTTAAACCTTTAAAACCTTTTAAAACCTAGCCGGGCTAGTGAGGCCGAGCGGACAGAAAGAGGAAGGCCGAACTTGGGCCAAACCCAAGATGCCTATGAACACCAGCCGAAACCACGTTTGTTTCGGATGGCGATGAATAATATGCGGGTTAACGTATTGAGTAAGGAACAATGTGATGTTATTCCATGCTCATAAAACCGGTTCTGATCAACTGTCACCAGCTTACACACATACCTACTATATCGGGTCCAGTATATATTGCCGATAAAGGCACGGCACAAAAAGCACAAAAATATAATTAGAAATAAACAAACTTTGAAACCAACTGTTGTCACGCTCCCATTACGAACATACATCTCACTTCAAATCCACATTCACATGGCTCTGTTTCGTTGCAGGCATGTGTGATGAGTTCTCCGTGTGGCCTGGTGGATAAGACATCCAGCTCCAAACTCAGTGTCGGCGAATTCGCGGCCAGAGGCGAATTTGCGTCGTCTGAGCCACGTACCTATATTAAATCGGCTGGCAACTGGCGAGAGAGGACCAATACCCCCGGGAGGACCATAGCCACGCACTCATCCATTCAGAGTTCAGACAGAACAAAGATAAGTGGAGGTTCAGAATTGGTTCAAAACACCCGGGCTAGACCAATCGACGCTAAGTTGCATCGGCCACTGACCACCAGCTCGATCGACTGAATCAGAGGATTTTCTCACCTTGGGCGTGAACACGATGTGGACCTGACCGCGTCCTCCGCCGCCAGTATCGTCCGCATTGCTGTTGATTTGATCACAGATGTATTTGACCAGTACAAGGTTCGGCCGGACCAAATACACACGGTGGCGCCCGGACATCGGCGGCGCCGCACGCTCCAACTTGAAAATCTTGTCCACACCATGGTTTCTGAAAAATATAAGCTGCACTCAGGACAATCTTGCTTAGCAATAAGATCTTGATACGTTAGCTCCAAAGCAGGGCTGCGGAGTCGGAGTCGGAGTCGGAGTCGGAGTCGGTCGGAGTCGACAGTTGTGACCGGAGTCGGAGTCGGAGTCGGAGTCGATTTTAGAACCCCGAGCCGGAGTCGGAGTCGGAGTCACTGAAAATCTGTCTACTCCGCAGCCCTGCTAGGTCTGCGGAGTCGGAGTCGGGAGTTGGAGTCGGTCGGAGTCGACAATTCTGCCCGGAGTCGGAGTCGGAGCTGGTTTTTGAAAGCCGGAGTCGGAGTCGGAGTCGGAGTCGCCGAAAATCCATCGACTCCGCAGCCCTGCTCCAAAGTATGGGTAAACAGGAGTGGCAAGTCAAATGATTGCTCCAGATCTACTCACCTGAGCAGAGTGGCACCAGCGACCCTATCCAGTGGCTTCATGAGCACAGGGTCAATGTAGATATCTTTGGTTCCATGTATGGTCTCCAGGACATGCACCAGCTGGTCTCTGGAGAGGTGGTGCAGCATCTCCCCACTCAGAGCCTGTATGGACATTGTGGCTGCACGGCTGGTGGGCGACTCTGAAAACAAGTCTGAAATGTCATCAAACCTCACTCCTTTAGCATGGATTCATATTTTGCTAAAAGGTAGCAGTCAAAGACAAGATAGCAGGGCATTAGTAGAGCAGACATCACAAGGTTTTCCTACCAAGGAGAGGTGTTGTAGGTTTGTAGCCTGTAGGTTGTATTTGTAATTGTAGGTTGTAAGTAAGGTTAGGTCAGGTAAGGTTAGGGTTGTTTTAGTTTGGTTTGAAAGAAGCATCTCCAGGTGGGTATGGCATGTCTCCTTGGTTCAGGTTAGAAAACCTTTGGGCTTTGTGTGATTGTGATGTCTGCTCTACTATGGGTCGCAGTAACTGTCAGCATATGCTGTTTTCTGACAGGCAAGAGCATATTTCATATTAGTGGCTACAGGAAAAGTACATACCTAGGTAGGTATGTTGCCTATATGAAATAAGTATAATTTATTCTAAGATAGACAACAGCTCCAACTGAAACTTCCAAGAATGCCCTGCATTTTTATCTACTTGTCATACCACTAAAAGTTACTTTTCAATTTCACTTGTATCCATTTGGATTTAATGGCAGAATCTCAAATCTCAATATTTGGGTAGATAGTCTAACTGCTACCAGCTTATGGCTATTCCCAGAATTGTATGAACTTAACCTAGGTAGGTCCCAGGTCCCAGGCCACATCACTGGTAAGCAGGGATGCGGGAACTACTTTCCAACTGGGGGGGGGGGGCACACCATAAAAGAGATCAACCTAGGGTACCCCCAAATCTAGTTTTCTCACCGGTTTTAGGCCACTTATTTTTCATCCCTCGGCTTTTTCAACAAAAAAAGAAAACATTTGCAAAAAAAGTGTGGTATTCCATCTCAAAGCTGTGGGGGCACCGCCCCCACGGCCCCAGAGTTGGGGGGGGAGGCAAGCTGCCCCCCACTGCCCCCCCCCCCGGCTCCCGCGCCTATGCTGGTAAGTGGCAAAGTTGAAGTAATGTGGATGCCCTATTATATTGAATTCTATTTGTGCTATACTTACACAGTCAAAAATGATGTTACACTGATATGAGCCGCTAACTAAGGTACTAAGAGCCAGAGTCAAGTTACACCCAAATAAACTCTTTTTCTCGAAGTTTACACGTTTCGCCTTTCGCCAGTGTTTCACAGGACATGTATAATTTATGTTTGAAACTCAGGTCCCAGTTGCTGTTCGACGACAAGTTGCATAGCAACTAGCTGGTGAAGCCGCTTTTCAGACAAGTTGCTAGGCAACGAGAGCATGTTTGTGCTGTGGATCTTTGCAAAATTATATTTGAACATCTTTTGGAGGCAGTGGCGCAAAAGCTACGAATACGCCGCAAAAGCTCGGGGGGGTGTGACAAATTTTTACACCATTTTTAAGGGTGTACAGGGTGTAAGTGTTTACAAGATTGGTGGTTTCTGTCAGAAGTTATTGGCAAGATTATTAGTGACTTTTGGTTTTCATATCATGGGGCATCATGACATGCATAGGCGGCGGAACGGGGAGGGCACCGGGGCACCGTGCCCCCCTTTGATTTTGGCATTTCAACATTAGCCCTATGGGCGTTGCAATACAAAGAATGGGACCAAAAGTCGGCAGTGCCCCCCTTAATTGAAGGTGTTCCGCCGCTACTGATGACATGTTGCATAAAACATGTTTGAGTGGCTTGTTGGGTGGCTTTGGGCCCGGCCTCATCCTCATGTGCTCCACTGCTCCCCGCACCTTGGGCCTTGACATGAGCTCTGTTCGCACCCCGTTTATTTATCAGCAGGCTGCGACCATGCTGCTGCTTCTTGGCTCCTCATTGGTCGAATTCAAGTGGTCTATTCGTTAGACCAATGAGAGGCCAAGCCGCGCCAGCAATAACTTCCTTATATGGGGAAAACCGACAGCACGCTGATATAAAAACAGCGACTGAACAGGGCCCTGGATACCTATTCAGCCAGTTAGAGGTGTAGGACAGATTTTCTTTTTAAAATGGTGTGGTGCTGATGTGTGGGGTGGCACAGGCCCTGATAAAGTGTTGTGATAAACTGCTCTGATATTTCTCTGCTGTCATGCTTCCTCAAAATAAGATGATGTATAGAAGACAATTAGATCAGCCAATTAACAGTTGACCTTCTTGTGTGCATTCTGTTACCTTACAGACATGCTGTGAACTTTTTGTATTGTTACTTTTTAAGTTAGTTGGAACAGGCCCAGGGGGATGTGGATTTCCACTCCATTCAGCCTGGCTGGTGCACTTGACTAGTGGACATTCATCACCACAGCTGGAGCAGCTTTTTTATAAATTTAGTCAGAACCTTTTGAACGGAAGGATTCACAAGGACAGAGCCCCCGCTAAGCGAAGCTTGTTGCGTTGACCCTGCCCTCTACCCTCCGATCGCGCAATTCCAGTTATATGGCAGAATTTGGAGTCCAAAGTTTAAAGTGCGCACATAGCCGTGCACAGCCGGTCCCCTCACTGACTTTGCCTGGCTACGTGAGTACGGAGTACGGACTGCCACCAACCGCAACCATACCTGTCAGGAGGCCCATAAACATCAAGCGCCCGTCGTGCTTCGAACCCGGACTGTTGTAACCGGGAACGCGTGCTCTCACTACGCGGAGTCCAACGCTCTACCGACTGAGCTACGGGACCTGCTTTCAGCTTGTCAACTCTGTTTCCATGTTTTGCAGACTGCATGGAGTTCCAGTGGCATGTGCTGCAGGCAGGGTCCATGAAATTGTTGGCAACAAGCACTGACTAGCAATGCAAACCTGTTGACACTTGACAGGCACCTGTTTTGCTATTTGATCAATATTCTTTTTTTACAGCAAGCAGCAGCTCATGATTGTGAATCATCAAAATAATCAAGATATTTTTTCTTGAAAAATGGCAAAGTCAAAGCCCTCAAGAAACTTTCAGAGTTATATTGAGCTTGATGATGGTATTGGGAATGGGGTGAGTGAGTATTGGTTAATGGCTAATGCTGTTTGTCTCTAATAAGTACCCATCTTATATTTCAAAGTTGATTGATTGTTGTGATTACTGTCATTGACATGTGGGAAACAGTATGAATATCATGGAACAATGTTTGACAGGAGAAGTGGACTGATCTTATGATGGAAATGGTCTGTAACTGATATGACTATGGGATGGGTGCTAATAGACCCACATACATCTCAGTGTTTTGGTACCAGAACTGCCATCATTGTAAGAACATGTTATTTTGTCTAATGTCTGTTGGTTCGCTCTACTCTGGAATCTTCTTGCACTGGATGAACATAGAGACTAATACCATCAATCAGTCCTGTGTCACCTGACACTCCTGTTCGCTCAGGTGACCCATTTGCTGGACGTTGCCCTGCCTCCCGGCCCGGTCCTGTGTCACCTGACCCCCCGCCCTCCCCTGCCCACTCACACAGGTGACCCATCCGCTGGAGGTGGCTCCGCCTCCGGAGCCGGTGCTCCTGCCGGGGGAGAGCGTGGTGGCCACCGCCGACGACGTGTGCCTCTACGTGCCCATGTCGGAGCAGCGCCAGGCCCTGTTCGGCCGGCTGGTCGTCACCAACTTCAAACTGTCGTTTGTCACACTGCACGGAACCTCCGGTGGAACGGTGAGCCAAGGGCGACGTTCATGGAGACAGGAGGGTGGACACTGAACAGCGAGCTGAGCATAGGTCTCCTTGAGTAGCTCTCAGCGTTTGAACCTGGGCATTTTCTGGAAATGAGATTGTGAAGTAGGTAACATCAGCAACATCGTTATGTGGTTGTGAACATTCAAACACAGGCACTCACTTCTGTTCGTAATTCGGTAATTTCATGTCAAACTTTTTAAGGCGTCTTATATCGACAACAGGTATTAACGATGGACATCAGCCATCAGTGACGCGAAAAGGACTGGTGATTGCAGCCAGTCCCATGGCTATAAAAAGCAATACCCACGAGACATGTTTATCAAGTTTTATGTCAAATAGGCTGCGAGACCCGTCTCCGCCACAGACTGATTGCACCTTTGACTCGGCTGACCCAGTGTCGACTGATGAGGAAAGTGAGCCCGATACCGTGCGCTAGTGTTGGGTTTCGCCTAGGCTTATCGTGTATGTTTATCCATTCATGCCAGCATCAGTGAAGCACGTTCAGTCTACAATTCTGTTGCACGCTTGGTCTCTGAAACCGTTGATAGTACGTTGCACTGTTGGTTTGAACACGTCACCCATCTCGTCTGTCAACATGGACGATGTTTCCCGTCGGCCAGGAGGAGCTGTGGCGGAACCGTCTGCTGGGAAAACACGACGTGTGCCTGATGAACGTGGACGCCATCTACCAGGTCTCCTCGAGCGGCAAGCGTAAGCTGCTGGCGCCGCGCTCCAACGTCTCCGGTCGCGTCAAGGAGCTGCAGATCCGCTGCAAGGTGCGGCTCCATCCCATGGTCATGCTACTGCGAAACCCCAGACTAGGTGTTTGTCCTTAGTGAATGTAACGAAAGGTTTTGGTGGTTTAGTTAGTTGAGGTTCGAGTGTTTTGATCTATCAACACTGAAGTGTGTTATTGCGTCGTAAATTCATGGTAACGCTACTTACCGTAAAATCAAACGTTATTACTAATTGTTTGCTCTCATCTAACCTTCCGTAGCGTTATCGCTCAATTAACTCGAACCACCGTCGCTGACTTCCCCACTCGCTCACAGGATTTCCGCGTGCTGACGTTCAGTTTCCGGTGCTCGCGACTAGACGAGGACCGCGCCATCACCAACGCCCTGCTGGTGCATTGCTACCCCCGGCGAGCGCAGCTCATGTTCCACTTTGACTACAAGTGAGTGGGGAGAGATAGCGGTGCTGTAGATATCTCGTGTGATTTAGATCTGTCAGTTATAGTGGTCTTACTCTCGGAGTGTCTTTATGGCACACGTCCACGGAATGGGCACTGGTAAGGAATACTTTATCAGCTATATTGCGATTTGTATCGATTTTCCATAATTGACTGAGATAGTTTGACTGAAACAATTTAAAGATTATTTTACGAATGGTCATTGGTCTCTCCTCCGTTCCAGAGGTGAGAGCCCGGAGCCGGGCCCTGACGGCGGTGAGGGGCAGTGCTGCTCAGAAGCCAGCTGGACGGACATGCTGACGCGGACCAGCTCCGTCGGATGGAGAATCTCGCACGTCAACCAGGCGTACCGCATGTGTGATAGGTGGGTGAACGGGATGTGCCGCTGGCTGTGGGCGTGACTTGAGTTGGTGCTGAGATTTAGCAATTTTTCATGTCTTTTTTTCTTTCTGGGTTTTGTGATAAGGCGACGAAAATAGTGGATTCAGGCTGAGGTGTTCCAAACTATCATGATGCGAAACACCGTCATATTGCTATCTTTATTTTTCGCCTATCAATGGTAAGGCCAATTTTATTGCGTTCTATCACTTCGTTGTTTGTGTCTCTTAGCCTCTTCCTCACTATATTTTCGCTCCATCGTACTTTCTGACCTGACTATAAGTGAGCCCGTCATCGTTGTGGTCTCCAGTTTCCGACGTCGATCCGTACACATTGACAGTGGTAACAAACAGACTATAGTTCGTTTTTTTTTAAGTTCGACCCTCACTGTAAACATCTTTCTGAACATAGCACGAGAATTGCTAGCTGAATTACTTAGAAAACTGGTTAGCGCACATTGTACTGCAGAAGTTAATAATATTTTCCAAATAAGTTTTAAACACCGATGATATTCCGTTTTGTTAAACGCCGTGCGATCTATTGATCAGTTCAGTTATAATTTCTGACAAAATGTCTATCCCTGTGGGGTTGTATATAAAGGCAAATACGAGCTAGGAGTCTGGAAAATAAGAGCCAGGAAGAAATATTTTTGGGTAAAATTAATTGTCTGTGAAATCAATGTGCGCCAGCCAGTTTTCTAAGTAATTCAGCTAGCAATTCTCGTGCTGTGTTCAAAGAGATGATTACAGTGAGGGTCGAACTTAAGAAAAACGGACTATAACAACTTCTACTCTCTCTCCGTCTGGCAGCCTCCCGGAGGTCCTGGTCGTGCCGAACGGCATCCTCGACTCTCAGCTGCTGGCCGTCAGCAGACACTACGTGGGCTGCCGGCCGCCCATCTGGTGCTGGGGTAGTCCCGACGGAGGCGCCATCGCACGCGCTGCCTACACACACGTCACGGGACGGACCAGGTGAGGGGCGAGAGGTGGGGAGATGGGCGGGGCTGAGTGGGGTGTGGAGAATGTGAGGTAAGTGGGAGGTGTACTCCAATGGCTTCCTTATTGCGGGTGGTCGTTAGGGTTCGTCCCGCCTTTGACAATATTTTTTGTGTCTACATTTACAGTCAGGAAGCTCAGCTGGTAATGGACTCGATCAAGTCGTCCCACCCGACCTACAAGGACGCTGTTCAGATGGACGTGGGCGCTCTCTGTCCCTCGATTGACGAGGTGCAGGAGAGCTACGTCCGACTCCGAGAGATCTGCTCACCAGGTTAGTACAGAGGCCGCCGGGTGCTCCAAGTTTGTCAGATTTCCGCCGAGACACGCATCATTTTCTCAGTAATCGTTATGTTCTGGTCGGTTGTTGTAACTCATGACATTCCTGAGAGACTCAGACAAAGAGTCGTACGTATCGCATTCTTTTATCTCTTTTATATTTGTTACGTTGGCATTCAAGTGTTGTGCTTCTGGGAATGTGACCCAAGGTCGTGCATGACTCAATGCCATACACCACATTCCTTGGCTGCCATCATATTTAAGTGAAGTCTCGGCGGCGCAGCGCTATCGGGGTATGGAATGCACTTGAAGTAATGTGTCGCTGGCGTCGCTATTACGTACTTTGCGCTGTGACACTTTACTAGTAAACTGTCTATAGTTGGTATACTGACCTTTCATGGGCCTCGTAAATCGATATGGTCCACATGTTCTGAGAATTCTTTGTTCTGGTGCGAATAATGAATAGTGTCTTACCGAAATCCGATTTTAGTCTGACTTTATTCTCTGGTCTTATCCTTACGTTGCGTTTTGGAATCGGCTGAAGGGCTGTCAACACTCGACAAAGTTTGTGGTGCGAAATTAATGATAATAACTAAGTTATCGATTGTGCTCGGGCTGGTATGCCTTCGATGCATTGCAGCTGCTATTTTCCCTACGTATGCAAGCATTCCTGAGTAAACACTACCAATAGAGGAAGGAGCGGCATGCAAACTAGTCAGAACTCCAAAAAAGTAAACGCGTTATGGCTGCATGCACGTTTGCTCTCCTAAACATTGGACTATCCTCTCCCTCGCGAACCCTCGCCCATCCATTCGCCCGTTAATTGTGCTCTATTTCCATCTGTTTCAGAGAGTGTCCGGGCGCTGGGGGAGACGGACGGACGGTCCTTGGGTCTGTTAGGAGCCAGCCGCTGGCCGCTGGCCGTCTCACAGTGCCTCTCCGCCGCCGCGCAGTGTGTGCAGACGCTGACCGACCAGCAGACGGTGGTAGTGCTAACAGGTGAGAACTGAGAGTAGACAGTGAGATAGTACAGACGCTGACCCACCTGCAGACGGTGGTAGTGCTAACAGGTGAGAACTGAGGATAGACAGTGAGACAGTGTTTACAGACGCTGACCGACCAGCAGACGGTGGTGAGAACTGAGACAGTGAGACAGTGTGTGCAGACGCTGACCCACCTGCAGACGGTGGTAGTGCTAACAGGTGAGAGACCAGTGAGCGTATTAGCGTAAACAGCTGGTGAGGGCTGGACTTTCCTCTTCTGGGACCTTTCCGACCTTCGCTCTAGACAGACTCCAGTGCATGCTTAGTGTACCATGACATGACAGCCTGCCTCCCCGCGTTAACCACCCGCCGCCTCTGTGCGCCGCAGGACCGACGGGCCGAGATCTGACGGCGGCGGTGGCCAGTCTGGCCCAGCTGCTGGTGGACGCCGAGTGCCGGACGCTGGCCGGTTTCCAGCGGCTCGTGCAGAGACAGTGGGTGGCGCTAGGTCACCCGTTCCAGGACCGACTGGGACTCATTCACCGGGATGGAGCCAAAAAGGTGACCGGGTGGGCCAGGCCGGTGGATACAGGGGACGAGCGGTGTGCTGCGCTGTCGCCTGGTACAAGCTCTTATATAGAACTGACGTGCTTACTGGTTATAACGTCTTACTTTATGTGGGTATTAGGTCTTTCTGTGATTCATGATAGTAATATTGAACAGCATTTATAAATGATACGCGAATTACCTCCACACTTTTCCATTCTACCATCTGCGTTTATCAATCACTGACAGCTGCTGCTAACCGCCCCGTCCCCTTCTACCCCTCTCTGGACAGAGTCCCGTGTTTCTGTTGTTCCTGGACTGTGTGCACCAGCTGCTGGTTCAGTTCCCCGCCCGGTTCGAGTTCACCGAGACACTACTCGTCAGTTTGTGGGACTCTCTACATGTGTCCGTCTTCGACACGTTCCTATTCAACTCGGAGAAGGAGCGCGCCGACGCCTCGTCAGTCAAGGTAAGTCACGGGGTCATTATGCAGGGGGACGGGGATGGAGCTGGTGGGATGAAGGGACGGGTAGTGGGGTGGTGGTACGGGTGCTGATGGGACTTGAGGATCTTGAGCTGTTGACATAGAGAATGGTGGCGGGACAGCGGGACTGAGGCTGTTTAAATGGAGAGACCTCAGTCCGGGCGCCATAACCCCACAGCATCATCATGAGATGGGTAGACTGAGGCCGATTGATGGAGGGACTGGAGTTTAGTTGGGATGGAGGGATCGAAGATGTGTCTGGTAGGACAAAGGATCTAGAGCTGCTGGGACGGAGGAATTCGAATGGAAGGGACGGAGGAGCTCGAATTGAAGGGGCGGAGGGGCTCGAATTGAAGGGACGGAGGGGCTAGAACGAAGATAGTTGGTGGGAAGCCAGTGGGCCAGAGAGTCTGAGGATCAGTGGGTCTGAGAGTCAGTGGGACGGAGAGACTGGGGGCCAGTGGGACGGAGAGGCTGGGGGCCAGTGGGACGGAGAGACTGAGGCTGTTGGTACAGACGAACCGATGTCGTTTGGACGGAGGGATAGCGGCTGGTGGGACGGAGGGACTGGATCTTGTTGATAGAATGACTGGCTGGAATTTCAGGCGTGTGGATGTTACGTTAGGGCTTGGGCCGTTCGCGCATATTCTGCATGTCGTAATTTTCTTCGGGTGTCGATACCCTTGGCGTGCTTTTATATGACAGGCTTAATCGGTTACACATACGACACAACATACAGGGTGGACCAAAAAGGATGGAAACATTTTAAACTCGCATAAAATATGTGTTATTGCATGCAGGTGACTGAAAATGATACCACACGAGAGTACGTTTCGTGGAAATTCATAATGACATCTCTCTCATCTGCTCTCTCTCCTTTTCAGTCTCTCAGAGCAAATGTTCGAAGAGGCCACCTTTGCGAGACAGGCAAAGAGCGGCCCGCCTGCCGGCTGACGCGATAGCCCGATGACACATGTCCGCTGGTTTGGCTCGCACATCCTTGGTGATCAATCTCTTCAGGTAACAGAGGCCTTCATATCCTTCCTTGTACATCTGGCCTTGAGATAATCCCGCAGGAAAAAAATCCATCGGGGTCAGGTCAGGTGAGCAGACAGGCCAGTTCCGACAGGCACTGCGGGATATCAGCCGGTCACCAAAGTGGTTCTCGCTCCACTTGAGCGTTGTTTAGCGATGTGAGGAGGCGCATCGTCGTGCTGAAATCACATGAGGTCCATGAGACTGCCATACTTCGTTTGGGCTCCCTTCAACAACTTCTTAAGCGTCGCTTGGTAGTGCTTTCGGTCGTCAGCCACGGTGTTGTCGCTCCCATCCTCGGACCGAAGTGGAACTGGCCTGTCTGTCTTCTCATCTGACCCATGGATTCCTGTCCTGTGGAGTCATCTCAAGGGCCAGGTCTACAAGGAAGGTTATGTAGGTCTCTGCTCTGTTATCTGAAGATAACGATCACCGAGGCTGTGCGAGTCATACCAGAGGACATGTGTCATCGGGCTATCGCGTCAGCCGGCAAGCGGGCCGCTCTTTGCCTGTCTCGCAAAGGTGGCTTCTTCGAACATTTGCTGTGAGAGACTGAAAACGAGAGAAAACAGATGAGAGTGATATCACTATGAATTTCCACGAAACGTTCTCTCGTTTGGTATCATTTTCAGTCACATGCATGCAATAACACATATTTTATGCGAGTTTAAAATGTTTCCATCCTTTTTGGTCCACCCTGTATTCCTAGGCTGAAGTGATAATATGCCCATCATTCTGAATATAAGACTATTATTTCGTAGTATAGTTATGGTGTTTGACTCGATGCTATTTATTAACGAATTGTTTTCCATTAGCCGCGGTTATTCTAGCTTGCGAAGTTCCTGTAAACCTGGTACTCGCGGAGTTGTGTTTCCTGTTTTCCTAAAGGGATTTTCCCTTTTTCGAAGCATTCCTTTGGAAAAGTCCTAAGCTTCCAAACAAGAGGAGCCTTGCTCATCCCAATGGTAAGTTTCACCTTCCTTTAGCCGTTTTTGATGCACACGTGGATGTGTTGGTTGAATGCTTTGAGATATTTCTTTTGCTTTTCCTTTTCCTATGTCCTAAGTCATTTTATGTTGCATTCATCCTTGGACAAATATTGTCAGTTGGCTGTTGAGTTACATTTTAAGCGTTATTGTTTTTTCCTTTAGCTTTCATTGACCTTCCTTCCTTCTGTTTTTCCCCGCTGACCTGCTACCCCCCGTTTTCAGGAGAACGACTACCCGCTGCGCCGACGGCCCGTGTGGAACTGGGCCGAGCAGTTCGACCCCGACTGGCGCAAACTGTTCACCAGCGCCGCCCACGAGGTGAAGCTGCAGCTGGGCCTGGTGCAGACGCCGCCGACGCCGGCCGGTCGCGGCCCGGTCGGACCCGGACTGGGTCTACTGGCGGCGGTGACCGGCGGCGGCAGCGGGCCGCCCAAGCCGCCGCCGCGCCGCGCCCGTCGCCGCGCCGACCAGCTGCGGCCGGTGACCTCCGTGGCGGCCGTGCGGCTGTGGACGCTCTGCTTCTGCCGCTGGGTGCCCACGCTGGATGTGGGCGGCGGCGGCAGGCCGGCCGAGGAGGCCTGCCTCCGGCACCTGCTGGCCCAGCTGCGCACCCTCGAGGCGCAGGTCGAGTCGGCCCGGGACGGTGTGGGGGTGCGCCGTTCGGTGCGCGCGTCGGCAGCGCGCGGCTCGGTGGCGCCGGCGCCGCTGCCCGGCGCGTTCCACCCGTTCGCCGCGTGTCGGGCGCCCACGCCTCTCCTCAGCGTCACACCGGGCCTAGTGAACGCGCTGGTGAGGAACAGTATCATCACGGGCGAGGACGGCAGTCTGGCGGCGCACCGCGGCCGGCAGTACGGACTGTAGTGCCTGTAGTGCCCCGGCCTGCCCCGTGCCCACAATCCCAGTGACTCGCCCGGTAGCCGGCAGGGGCTTAGTTGGAACCGCAGTATGGTGCTACTCGGCAGAGAAGAAACTTTCGTACGTGATTCCTGCTTGTTTGAAGTGTTTTATCAGTATGTGACGTTTATCCCCACAGTGAACACTGCATTGTTTGATGCAAGCTGATGCCTGTTTTGTATCGAAGGCCAGAACATTTCGTTCCTTATGCTATTGGTTGATATTGCATAGAGCCTCAGGCGGTGCTGCTTTTGCTGTTGCTCTTTCGTTTCGCCGGATTGCTAGGTAAGGATATGTTTGTGATACTTTTCTACCTTTTTGCTTTGCTGCTGTAAATGTGACTTCTTGTATCCGCCGCTTGTCAGGAAGCATTCAACTTTGTGTGCTCTTTAGGAACGATTCATGTTCTGTTTCCCTTTCCTATCCAGTCTGACACCTGACGCGAGCTGCAGTGTGGGTATCACACGGTTGTGCCTCCCATACAGGATAGCGGGATGTCTCCATTTGATATGCAACTACGTTGTTTATATTACCTGCATGCGATGGGCCCTCACGCATGTTTCGCTAGTCCAGCCGCGTATATGCATAATAGTGCAAGTGTCCGCTTACGGGAGCATGAGAGGAGGCGTGTTTTTATAGCTGCGATTGTGAGCCAAGAAAGCGGCGCGGCGGCCTGCGCCGATTGTGATATTGTTATCAAGCTCCTATTGGAATAGGCAGGATGTATGGCGCTGGACGCTTATTGAAAAATATGATCATGTATCGAAGTGCTGCGTATTTATATCGCTTCTGTCTGACATATTTAATAGACGTCTTGTACCATTCCATACTTGTTTGATCGTTGTTCGTGGTAATGCCGTTGCGATGCGCTCACATACCGGTGGTACGTCCGGTGACATACACGCGCAGGAATGTCTTGACATTGTCTTTACCTATTTGACAGTGATCTTCAGAGCTTAGGAAAGGCTGATCAAAAGACTGTCATACCAATCAGTTTTGATCGTGCTGATTTATTATCCCAATGACATGCATCTTATGCATGGGATGACATTATGTATCCCACCAAAGTGCCTCGACAATGCAGCCAATGAAGATGAAAACAATGACTGCCTAAAACTATCACAAAGAAACAAATCAATGGACTTGTTCTTAGCACATGTTTGTAGACGGTATACAGGGACGAGCTTGTGCAATAGTTTTAAAATCGCTTGCAAATGACATTCCATTTTCACACAGGCTTGAAAAAAAATAACACATCCCTACCCGATGACACGTTGTAAACGGTACAAGCCGAACATAATAGGATATTCAAAAATGTTAGAAAATTTTCAGTTTTAAGTTTATAAAACCGCATTGGACTACGGTTTTATGTAAGCAGGTAGTCGCTATTTCGTGATAAACATTTAGGACAAAATGAGAATGCCTGCTAGTGCTATTTATGGGATGCCCACGCACTTAGTGAGGCTGTATCAAGTAGGTACATTTTCAAACTATACTTTGTACATTTCCCTATAACGTCACGAAGGGAGTGTGAACTGTGTAGTGTAAATGCGTGAAACTAACAAAGCAACATAAGTTGTTCAAGTTGAACTGTCACATCACAACAGAGCTCTGTGCATCGCCTATCACATACGAAACTAATGTGAAACGGCATCCTCATTCCATCGCTCACGCTCCCTCCACTCGCTATATTTCCGCTTCACCAAAACATCGCAGTGAAGGCATTTGGTCCTCTCCCATGACATGATTCGCCAGCTGTACACGCATGTGCAATGTCCGTTTTAGCGTTATCACTTATCACGACGGTGTACATACTCTTTATGGTCGATCATTGTAACCGACATCGGTGTGCCTGAATTGGAACACCGCAATGGGCGTTGTTTTTTAGTCATTGGAGATGTCGAAGGTCGACAGTCGACACTTGGAAACTCTTCTCATACCCTTCATAGGATTGAGCAGGTTTTCGACTGAAAAAGAAGCACCGTCACCGTTTGCCTTTCCTTTCATTCAATCCCAAATATCCCATGCAAGTCTAAGTATGTCAACAAAAAACTCACAAAATAGGTACTATTTAAATTGTTGTATGAACTGCCACCTTCGCTATAATTATTTGGCAATTATTTCTGGCTCCTTGTCTCACTGAAACTAATTACATAAAGTGCATGGTACTACGCAACGCCACAATCCAGTAAGGTCAGCCTCGACACATTACATTTAGGCGCACCCTAGCGTATCCCCGAACAGTGTGTGTTGCGTCAGCTTTTTGTGGTTATGTATGTTACGAGGCTGTGTGCTTCTCATATCGGTAGGCTTGACATCGCCCTGAAGCTGCGCTAAGGAGGGGAGCATTGCTACTCGTACTACTTTTGCTCACTCGATGAGTCCGTGACGCGTTAGCCCTACAGCCCCGCGGAGGCGTTGTGACGAAGTCAAGAAGCTAGGAAGGGAGCTGCCCCTACTATTCACGTCAGCTATCCCAGCTCCCCTGATGAAACTGAGGAGGGACGCTGTTCGATCTCACCTGTGGCGTATCTGTCTCCTGCGGGTCGGTCTCGATGTCCGCCGTCTCGGCGGTGACCGCCGGCGTGTCGACACGCGCCGTCGGAGGGTCGTCCTCGGCCGGCAGACCCGCTGTCGGGGCCACACAACAGGTCAATGTCCGAGGAATCCTCCGTTCACGTGGAAAATGTTGTAGGTGCAGCATTCAATATCAAACATGGGTTCAACGAATCTCAGTACAAGTGCAGCTCAGCTTCATCGTAAACCGCCTTGTTTGAGATATGCAATATTCATTGTGCAAATAATTATTATGTCATTCCTTTGAAGTTGAAGTACTTCCTGAAACGTTTTTTTCTTTGAATTCCTTCCTCTATTAGTCTCAACAAGTCTACACATACGACAAACTCTGAGCACTGAGCAGACGCTCTCAGTTCCATGCCGTCCTTACCCTGCGCCGACCTATGCCTCACTCCCCTCACCTCTGAGTGCCTCTCCCTCGGGTCGGCTCTCGTCATCCGGCTCTTCCTTGGGCTCGACAGTCGGTTCAGGGGTGACCGGCTCGTGTGAGACGGACTTGTCCTTCCGGAACCGACTCAGCAGCCGCGTCAGAGGACTGCAGACTGGGGACGGGACGGTCACAGATCACGTCAAAGGACGATATCAGAAATCAGGCTAAAGGACGGATATAACGGATCATAGCGCGAGTCAAATACCACGTGTTACAGTCTTGGTATAAAAGTTCGGGTAACAGGTCGCACAATAGGCTGGGTCGCAAATTAGGCTACGAGTCGGGTTTAAGTACAGCTTAAGGACCAGCTGCAGTGCAGGATAGACACACCCTAGTACGCGTTTCCGGCCCGACTGAGCCTTGCTGCCTTACGCTTCACAGTAAGGAAGCCTAGACACTGGCGATCACATTGTTTTTATTCGATAATGCTCAAATAAATCTTCATATCCGTCAGGCTGATTATTTTCTAGATAGGCTGTCTTCGGTATGTATTTCAGGACCTCTCCCGTTTAGTGTTTAATTAACATGCTATTTTGTCTTCGAGGAAATGTAAAATACCTACCTCCACCATCTTCTGAGGCTACAACATTGTCTTCCGCTGATTTTTGTCCGGCATCCGCCTGGAAGTAAAAATACAGTTGACTTATAAACGTCATTATCAGTCGAAAAAGGCTCGGTTATCTCGCGTCACGCTGAAATTTTGTCCTCTTCTGGCCGTGGTCACAGGAACATTTAACCGACTGATTTTAAATGGTCTCGCGAGTCGCGATGCATTCCAGTTTCCGATCCTCCCTGCCCATCCTTTGTGCCAGTGGGCCGTCTCGCTCGCGTTGTGACGCTCACTGAGCCCACCTGGTTGCGGAGGTCGGCGGCGGAGTTAACGGACTGAAGTTCCCCGGCCTCCGGCGGCCTCCTGAGTCCCCCCTCTGTGGTCTCTGTGGTGTCACCCTCCGGCTGGCTGAGAGAGGAGGCGATCCGCGGCGCGCCCCGCAGAGGAGGCAGTACCCGCGTCACTGGCGGCAGGGTGGCCTGCAGCACGGGGAAAGGTGGGGTCAGTCACATAAATCAGTGTGGAGGGAGACCTGGCCTTCGCCAATCGCCATTGAAGGTCCATGCAGCCATCGAAGGTTATACAATGAAATGCAGTTCGCGATACACTGCGAGAAGCCTTTTGTGATAGGTTATGGAATGTTCACATCAGTTCCCGTCAAACGCTTCCTCCTTCAAGCCAAATGCGTAGTTTTAAGATTATTATGCGTATCTACAGTCTTCCTTACGATCCATGGATCTCTTTAATTATAATTTCATGCATGTCGCTAGCTTTACGAACACCAAGACGCCATTACGAAACACTGACATGAAATATACACAAGGTTACATAGAATGAACTAGGGGAGAGTGGGGCAAAGCGGCCACCCTAACGCTTCTCACGATGCCAACGCTTGATTTTTAAACTTGGAAAGATTCTTTCTATACCAATATGATCCCTAGTAAGTTGCCTTTTATTTCAACTGCGTTTTATTTCCAAAGGCGTTCACATATGAAAGATATTGACAAAACTTTAAACCTATGCATATTGGCCACTTTGCCCCATACCCTGGGGCAAAGCGGCCACCGGCGTCTTCTCAAGTCCCGATATGAGAAACAAAATAGTTGCCTCGTGTACGACTAGTGTATTTGATGGTGACAAGGTTAATCGAGGATGGATGTTTACTTTATCATCTTCCACCTGTAGGTAAACAAAGAAAGGATTTTCATGAAAATAAACATTTAATTGCACTATTTGGTAACTCATGCAACTGAAAAGTGGCCAAGATGAATGCATGACGACACATTTGAATATAAATAATGTTTTTTATCCAGATGGAAGCAACTTATGGCCAATTGGGGGGTGGCCACTTTGCCCCGGCCACTTTGCCCCGCGCATACCGTCCGAGATAAAAATATTCCAGCTTAGCTATTAGTGGGGTAAAAAACATTAAAATTGGTAGAATACATGTACGATAATCATGCAATGCATGGACAAGAACGCTTATAAAAATTCCAAAACGGTTATGGAATAACATAACATTTAAAAATTGTAAACATAGTTGGTAACCTGGCAAGAAATGCTTTTCCGTGTTTCACAGAACAATGGTGATGGGCCTGAAACCTCGGTCTGGCTCATTCGAACGACCGTGAAGAGAAGTATAATTGGAAACCATAAATTGGAACTGACGCCAGCTATGAAGGGCTAAAACGATGGGTGGCCACTTTGCCCCGGGTGGCCGCTTTGCCCCACTCTCCCCTACTGTTGATGAATAACGGCCACCTGTCCATGCTAAAGGTCTTGCGACTCACGAGCTATTAATAGGAATATACACAAATGATAGACGAAGGAGCAGAATTATGCCCTATAAAGAATCCGTCGGAAGGAAGGAGCGTTTTGTGTAACTTTTTATTTTGACTGCTAGCCTACTTTTATGCGTTCATTCGCATTGCGCTACGGCTGGCAGGGCCAGACATCGTTCTCAGGCATTTATCAGTGACCTAAAGCAATACTGAGATGTTCTGGGGTTTCCAGTAACTGGGTGTCGATTTCCGCCTTGTTGGGGGTGCCCGAGCTCTCCAAATTCCCCGCTGGCTTTGCCGGCTTGGCTTTGGAACCCCAGTAGACGGCGCTGGTCAAGGTCAGTAACATTTATATGACTGGTGTGGCAATGATTACAACGAAGGAAGGCAATTCACTTATCAGTTCTTCTTCAAACTCACTAATAAATGAGCACGAATAAATGAACGTTCCGACTTCAAATGATAATGATATCGTCTTCGTGTTATGCTGTGAGACCTTACACGGTTGTTTGAGGATCTGAGAATTGCTATCTCTTCCGAGAAATGCCACTGACGTGTCTACATGTTTGGTTTACCTCATTTAGCGGCATTTTTAATGCGTGTCTGTTATGTAATAGCTGATTCTTCGTACCGTAGCGTCAGCAATCAACGTAACATTTACCTTTATTTTCAACAGGCCATATCATCTGTACAGAGGATGATCAATAACATTTGGACACAGGCCACTAAACAAATAGGAATACCAGCGTCAATGCTCATTGCCCCGTAACCCTGCTAGGCTTTGTCCAGGAAGAATGGGCTTAATGACCCAGCACTAGGTCAACTGGCAAGTGCCGCTGTTTGCCGCTGGAAACGGTGCGCCGTTCGCGGTCCTTTTGAGCGAGGCCTATCTCGCCATTGACTGGAACGGCCAAAACGCCTGCTAACGTCAAATATCACGTTAATGCCATTTTTTATCGATTTGTCTCTTCTGTATCTATTTTGTGTCTGTTCATTATTCTTCTTTGAAGCACAAACAAATGATTAGATTTCTGTTAATGAGGCATTATCCCATAGTTGTGTTGTGAAAAATAGATTTAAATGCCAAAGAATGCGCGGTTCTGTGCTTAAGTTAGATTTCTGAGGCTCCAAATTCTGTCATAGACAAGGAATTGCGCTATCGGAAGGTAGAGGGCAGGGCCAACGCAACAAGCTCCGCTTAGCGAGGGCTCTGTCCTTGTGAATCCTTCCATTCAAAAGGTTCGAACCAAATGAAAAATAAAAAATAAAAAGACGTTCAGATAAGCGGTGCTATTTTTATGCACATCAACGGTCACGTTCCAAACCATGCTATCGATCGATCGGCTCGGACGCATAAATTAAACCACGTCCCGAAAGGCCAGCCCAATGACCGGAACTGACAGCCCTTACCGATTGGGCCGTGCCCCGTTCAACATGAATAACCACCCGTGTATAACACATGCATACGACACGACTGTGGCGCCGTCCGTTTATTCCACACCTGCCCCGGCCCTGTACCCGAATCGATGGCACATGAGGGTCGCTGACCGGCCGGGTATACGGGGTACTGGAAAGTCGTACCAAATACTGGCCCTGCACCGCGCGGGCAAGGGGGGGGGGCAGGGAGGGTGAGGGGCGCGGTGGAGGGCGGAACAGGCCGTCGTGGGTCCGTGTCAGTAAATGTCGTGTGCCCTCGGATCAGTCTATGTCGTCTGTCTCGGCGACTGATGATAGAAACCGGTGGTTATTCGCGGTGACACGTGGCACGTTATGATGGATTATGGCGAGGTAATAACCGAGGGATGATGCTGATGACATGTACTATTGAGCGCAGAATCCACGCTCATACCGGGACCGGGGCTGGGCCACGGCGGGGCAGGCCTGGTGTGTCAGAGAGTGTACCGATTAGTGTGATGCGGCACAGTATCCTTTGAGGGTCACGGAATGACATGACCTGGCTGTTTCTGTTCCGAGTGGGGCGGAAACCCGGGGAAGGAGAGCCGCAGTATGCGGCCGCAGCCCGCGTGGAGTGTGTGCGGCTAGACGTCAACGTGAGCGTGATGGCACACCTCAGTGATCTTGACAAGGGCAGGCTCATCTTGCTTTTCGATCAAGGTCACTCTGTCAAGCAGGCGGCAGAGATTCTCGGTGTAGCTCTAACTACTGCCAGACGGTGGAAACACCGTTATGAGCAGGAAGGGGAAAGGGGTTTGAAAGCGCGCTATGATAAGTGTGGAAGAAAACGGAAGACGACGGAGGAGGAAGACTGGGCGCATGGTGGAGGTTCGTACTTTTCTTTTATTATTTGTTGCTGTTGTCTCTGCATTTCTAGGTCAAGACGAGCGTGTAGTATCAGATGACTAATCGGGCCAGCATAATGATAATATCGGGCAATAATGACTAATCGGGCCAGCATATAATGATAATATGTCGATTAAACAGCATGTCTAATTGATTAAACGTGTCAAACTATTTAATGAGGTTAGTGCTTGTACGAGGAACATATTTATAAATAGTAGAAAATGTAAAAACATGACCTTTTTTCCTCGATAATTACCAAAACTAATGCTGTACAAATATATACTTTACTTGACAGAATGTAATAGTTATTTCGACCACAGGTCTTTTTCAAACATTTTCAAATTAGAAAAGTGTCAAACTATTTACTTCAAGATAGGATTGATAATAATAGCGAGTATTTTTTCGGATCTCGCTTAATGTCGCAAGAGCCACAGCTCAAACATTTTATGTTCATGTTGAATGCTTGTAAAGTTTGTTAGACAAAATCAGAGCACATAAAAAAATCGAATCAACTGAACAATGGTTGGCGGTTTCCTACCCTCTGGGTGTCTAAGAGACAAAGCCTAAGATAAACGTTTTATGGTCTTTGTGCAACAGGTCAAATGCCAGTAAACGTTCGATTGCACAAGTCATATCCAGGTAGATATCGTTTCTGCCCAGCACGCCGTCTTCCCCGCACGCTTGCAAACGGTTCCATGTCAATTCCACCTGTGACATTTCAAGCAGGTCAAACCAGTGACAACTACCTACTCAACCAGTGACATCTGGTTGAGTAGGTAGTTTTACATTTCAATCAGTGACAACTCAACCAGTGACATCTGAACCAGTGACGACTGAGCCAGTGACAACTCAACCAGCGACATTTCAACCAGTGACAACCAGTGACAACCAGTGACAACTCAACCAGTGTGCTAAATGCATTGGCTCTATTGTCACAAACCACGTTGGTTAAGTTGTCACTGGTTGAGTTGACTGTATACCCTTGTGAACATGTGCATTTTTCATTGTTGTTAAATATGTCTTCACTACTCCGGCAGGTGTTTTTGCCTTCCGTGGAGGAAATGCGCCCCGACGAGGAGCGACCCTGGACTCTAATGCAAGACAACGCCCCTATCCACACAGCGAGGGCAGTCAAGCAGTGGTTCGAAGACGACGCAGACTCAGTAAGTGGCATCATAAACCTATCATGGCTGCTAACTCTAAAGGCTGCCCCACACTGGACCTCGCATGCGGGTTGCGAGTTTTTGGTTTTCGGGTTTCTTCAAAATCAAATAATACAATCTAGCTGAGCGACACACACTACTATCTAACAAGCGAGTCTGCATGTTTTTAGCTTCCGAGCTACCTTGCATCGCATTCCAAAAGTTGATTTTGAGTCAACTTTCGATTTTCCTCGC